GATCAGAAGTACGAGTAGTCAGAAGACTCATCAGGATTGGGAGTGATTAGAGAGCGGGAACCGGGCCGGAGGATCGAAGAGATTAGTGGTAGTATTATTCGATTGGAAGAAGCCAGAGGGGGAGTGTTGGATGGCAAAGTCGGGCGAGGGATGATTATGAAGCGTACTGGGAGGAAGATGATGAGGATGATGATGAGAGGGGGGATAATCGTGGGTTAGATGGGCGGCACGCCACGAGTTTCGGCCGTCATTGTGCATGAGATAGGGCGTCTTTTCGGTGGCCCTTCCTCCTCGGACGACCGCAAATCCAGAGGAGGGTGTGCTGGAGGGATAACCGGCCCGCTCGGGAGGGGCCAGAGAGGGGCGGACGGAGGATGTGCCATAGAGGGTGTCCTGGACGGGCGTGCGCAGCCATGGCCCCTGTGACATCGCCGACATGATATTACCGTCCTCGTCGTTAATTGTCCCAAAGCCGGGGGAGTGGGCTGTGGGGCCATGGAGGCCGTTCAGTTCGGTCGGCTTGTCTCCATGGCCTGGCGACTGGCCATTCAGCGTAGAGAAGATTGACGCCCGTGTCGCCCGTCGCGGAGATGCCGTCGGCTTCCGCTGGGTCCGACGGTGTCGACGCGCCGCGATGGCTGCTGCCCGTCCGTGCCGGGTCGACCGACTCGTGGTCCGATCCCACCGTCTCCATGCTCCCCGTATACCTCCCGCTCGTGTGCTCCGTGTCTCGTCAAACGGGATGTGTGCCACCAGTCTGAGCATCAGTTCCATCAGCTTCACCGCCAACACACACACTAGGATCCCCAGTACCCCGCCCAGGATCAGCAACACCACGTAGGCCAGCCATCCAGAGGCAATCGGGCCCACGGCTACCGTCGGTGTCATGACTACCAGGATGACTGCAGTAATGATCCGAGAGACTGAAGTGATGAATGTCAAGGGAGCCATCGCTGCTCCATCTCCCCAAGGAAGCCAAAGCGACTACACACACATGCATGAAAGGGGGTAAACATGACTATCCGTAAAACACACACAATACAAAAAAAAAACATACAGTGAGCATGGTTTCGGTCAATTCAGCAACCAGTAGGACGACCGTTTGAACAATTGAATATGACTGGGCTGCGCCAAGAGCGATACCGACGATGAACGAGCTGGCAAAGCGTACGCCCATAAACATCTGATTCTTATCGTCAAAGGTATTATAGAGTGGGCCGAGGGAGAGGACGATCGGAGCGGAATCGATGAGTTCTTCGGTCGAACGACCCTTGATTCTGTAGAGTTGAATTGCGGGGAGTAGGGCGGCGAGGATGAGGAAGAGGATGGCAAGGATGAGAGAGACGATGGATCCTGAATGGACGAGCGAGACTTGGTAGGCTGAAAAGGCAACGAGGGGCCGATAGAAGAGGATGAAGAGACGGAGTAGATTGCCCTGGAGGAGTGCAAAGTGATGAGAGACCTGTGGCCAGATGAGCTGATCATTACTGCTGGGTCCTGCTCCTCCTAGGAGGTGGGAATCAAAGAGCGAGCCTTTCTCCGGGTGGGAGCTGCTGGCCGTCCTGTTCTTGTGATGGTGGAAGACCCTGGTGGTCGTCGGCGGACTGGAGGTCCGGCCATCATCCGTATCCGCACTCGTAGATATCCCCGAGTCCCGTTGAGCTTGTTTATTGATAGAGACTGATCGAAGCAAGAGCCGTGATGAGATGAGGGTGGTGATCAGTGCGACCAGATAGGCTAGGGCACTGAAGGCTGCGATGAGGGCACAGATGATGGCGAAGACTGAGATGGCAACACCAAACAGATCACGTGGGAGGATGCCGATGGTAGTTGCCCAACGGGGGATACCCTGGGGTTGATCGCCATAGTTGAGGAGTAGGTTGGGCAGAGTACGGTTGAGATAGAGCGGACTGCCGATGGTATCGAACTGGCTGACGAAGGACTGAGGGGGTTCATAGGCAGGAGTACTGAGAGGGTTGGGATGATTCAGATAGGGTAGTTTGGTGCGGACGAGGGTTGAGTTGAAGATGAGAGTACTCCAGGCAGATGATTGGGTGAGGATGGGGTAGATGAATTCGGGCCACTGGACTGAGAAGAGACCGAGGAGGGAGATGAACTGGAGATGGTTGATCAGATCACGGGTGCCTGGGGTTGAGAATCTGAGGAGTGCGCCTGAGAGTAGGAGGCCTTGACCGCTCCAGAGTAGCCACCAGACGGATGAGAATCGAGCGAGGAAGGATGAGTAGGGCTTGAAGGGGGGGATGTCTTGTAGGGTTGCAGCCACCTGTGCTTCACGGTTGAGTTGCTCGGAGATGATGGCAGCCCAAAGTCTTGCAGAGCAGGAGACGAGCAGATATCCTAGTAGGATTCCGATTGGGATGTATCTGAGTAGTCTGAAGTAGAAGCTGTTGGGGTAGTAGGGGGAGGAGTCGACTTGGATGCAGGCCAGGGTGAGTGCGGGGGTTGAGGTGTCTAGGAGTTGTAGTTGGGTTGAGAGGGTGATGAAGGGGTAGTCTGAGTGTGAGCTGATGGGCAGTTGTACGCCGAGTGCGATTTGTCCAGGGCCGTATGGACAGCCGGAGTCTGATTGATTTGCTTGTGATGGTCTGTTTGGTGTTCTGATTGATGAGCATAGTGCAGATTGGTTTGAGAATGACTGGAAGTTGAGGATTGAGGTTTCACTGATCAGAGTAGCTGGTTGGGGGGTGAGTCAGTTTAATGTTTTTTCTGATATATTGTTATGATGATGATTGTTTGTTTGTTTGTTACCTAGGAAGTTAGTCTGTGAGCTATAGCCGGTGCTCTGGGTTGCAGTCTGTCCGATGAGGGTGAGTCTGAGTAGATGGTGTTGGTTGTTGTTTGGGTTGAGGTCGAGTTGAGTGTATAGTTGGCTGAAGTTGATGAGCTGGTCGGCTGGGGGTAGGTTGTTTGAGTGCTGGTTGAGGCAGGATGAGAACCCTCGGAGTAGTGGTTCAGCCCTGATGATGGTGTTGGTGGTGGTGAGTAGTAGTGTGAGTAGTAGTGTTGGTAGTAGTAGTGGTGAGGCCATTCGATGGTCAGCCAGCAGACTGTTGCTGTTGCTGTTGCTGTTGTTGCTGTTGTTGTTGTGGGTGGTGTTTGGTTTGGTTTTGCTGTGAACTTCAGCAGCCAAAGTTTCCACTCCCGCTTGCCTTCCCACGAGGCCGATCTCCTACATACACTCCCACTTCACACAACTTCCCTCTCGCTCAAACCATCCAGCACAGCTCTGGGCCTGGCTATGCACATACATATTGCAAGAACTCTCAAGCATCGGCTGTCAAATTGGGGATCAAGACTTGCATTCAACCATCTCAGTGACAGAGAAAAAAGGAGTTTCATAAGCTTACTCCTTGCATATGGTACATATCCAAAACCATCATCAATCTCCAAAAACTCATTATAGCAAGAATCCCATCTCAGAGATATGTATAAAGCAAAATTACAACCAGAAAACATCACAACAAGAACAAGAGAAGCCAACTTTCGACCTGATTGAGGGATGAGTGACCCCAATGAGATCAAATACAAGGACAGAGAGAGAGAGAGAGAGAACTATGGCGGAGGAGGCTCTGGGGCTGGTTCAGGTGGAGGAGGTGGGGCAACATCCTCACTGGGGGGTGGCGGAGCAGGCGCATGGCTTGGTGGAGGTGGGGCAGAGGAGGGTAGAGGGGGCTGAGAGGAGACCATCGGCTGTGGTTGGGCAGCAGCAGCCATCGGATTAACAGCACCCGAGGCTTGCGCCTGTTGTTGATACTGAAGATACTGCTGATACCATGCCGTATACTCAGGCCTGATAATCACAAACAGATCATCAGCAACTAGCTCTCCGTCAGTAAGCAAAGATTGGAAGAGTCGAATGAGACGCACGAGTTGTAGTAAGCCCTTTGCTCGGCTGTCATCGTCTGCGCTTGTTGGGCATAGTATTGCGCATAGTATGCAGAGTAATCTTGGCTCGAGGCCGTTCCCGCTGGAGCAGCAGTGCCAGGCTGTCCGGAAGGCGGGCCCGGTGCCTCTCCCGTCGGCAAGGGGGGTGCCTCACTCGATGGAGGCGGTGGGGCATCCCCTGAGGATGGCAAGGGAGGCTGTCCATATTGTGGAGCCATTTGCTTTTTAAGGTCGACCAGCACAGAATTATCAACACAATCCCAGAGAGCATCTCTCGAAACAGAAAGAAAAAAAAATCACTCACTCCCATCATCCCTGGTACCTGCCCTTGACCCGGAACACCTCCGAATCCCATGTACATCGGCTGATTAACCATCGGTGTATTATACTGCGCCTGAGCTTGATCATTGATCGCTTTGGCTTCCGCCCACTTCTCCTTGACTGCTTCTAGTAGGTCCTCTGCTAACTCCTTTGCCTTGATATTCTGTGTATCATCTGGACCGCTGAACAAACACAGAAGAGTGGGGTGAATGTTAATCAACTGCAACGGATGCCCAAGGTCACAGTCTGATGGAGCCCATCATCAGATTACATTATGATGATCACTCACGTGATATTGATATGCATTGGTTCAGTAGACTCTGCCCCTGTGTCGCTCTCATAAAAACCAGATCCGACACCCTTAATCTGGACTCGTGAGCCAGTTTCACTTTGGATGTATTTTACAAACATGCCCTAGAAGAGGAGAAACGTTCATCAGAAGACTGATCATGGCTCACTAGAGGTTGATCTAAGCAACTCACCCCGGGGCCAACCACTTTGGCTCGAACATTAAAGTTGCGCAAGTTCTCCAGACCGATCTCCAGCTTATGTTCGGGCCATTTTTGGCGCTCTCTAGGCTCACGTCTCTCTCTCCGCTGGTGAACAAATCTGGGAAATTCGGAAAGAAAAGAAATAATCAAGTCAAATCTATGAATTGAACAAGTCTGTACATCCAAATATAACTTACGGTGCTTCCGTGAGTGGTCCTAGGTCTTGCTCGATCAACTCGTTCACCTTCGCAATCCCCTTATCCAGTATCTCTTGACTAGTGGCTGTCAGATGTAAATATAATGGGGGATCACGATCATGGGCTTTGGTACGATCCGGGTACCTGAGCGTTAGAATATCCAAGACAATATCGGTTGTCAGAAAGATTCCGATCGGCCACAGAGTAGATCAGGGAGATCAGTTACCATTGTCCTTTAGTAGTCACAGAGCATCCCGTCTCCGCTTGAATCTGATAAAAAAGGAGAAAGAAAATCGAGTCAGTCAGGATCCACGTCTACTAGGAGGAGTTTAATGGTAATCAATCACCTCAGCTTGAGTGGGTCCTTTGGTGAGTAGATATCGGTTCCGTTGGTCATTAATATCGATGTCTTTGACGAACTCAGGATCGTTCACTTCAGCTACATACAATCACCAGAAATAGATCATCAGCATCAGTCTAAATATGTGGTCAAGCTGATATATGGCGAAGGATCTTTCGGCCAGAAGTTTCTGGTTAATTCGACCCAACCAAGTTTTATTTTTTTACGGAAGAAGAGTTTCAGATGACCAGAAATATTTACGTTTGTCTTTCTCGTATTTCGGAGGTTCACTCGATTTCGCTTTGACTGGAGGAGGAGCATACTGGGCAGCGATTCGAGCAGCGATAGCAGCTAGAACGAGTTTTTGAAACAAATCCAATTGATATAATGTGGAATAATCAAAATCATTAATAATCAAGGCAAAAAAAAGACGCAAGACAAGGTATTGCACGACCTACCAGCGGCATCAGCAGCCCCATTATTCTCCGGCGTCGCAGTTTCGGTACCTCCGGGCTTGCTCGTAGGAGAGTCCTCGACTTTCACTTTCGTGTTGGCACTTCCATCAGGCCCGCTGTCCCACTTGCGTTTTCTCTCCGACATGATGTGCTGATTTTCGACTGGGTTGAAGGTGTTGGATTGTGTGTGTGGTTCGGTGGGAGTGGAGATGGTGATGATGTCTTCTGGCCTGCAACCTGGAACTCGGTCGACCACTCCAGCCTCGGTCATCCTGGCTCACCGATATGCATAATCGTATTCATCTGAGTGGGAGCCCCCTTGCGGCTTGGTAGCTATTCTTATTTTGACTTCTCCAAAAAAACTTAAATCCACATCTTGACAATGGGAAAAAATAAAAATAAAAACATATGTAATAAAGTCCTTCAATCTTTCTGGCCTCTCTTTATAACCCTCAAACATAAATTGAACCTTGGGCTCAAAGCCTCAACCCATGTTCAATCAGTTTGATCAGGAGGAGCTGGATATAACCAGAAACTCACCAACTTGTCATCACATTCCACTACCCCTTCCAAGTTCAACTGAGTGTGATTAAAAAAAATTCAAGAACTCTGTAGGAAAAATCAACATCATTTTCTTTGATTGTTTTATGAAGACAACTCCAGACAATGCCAGGTCCTTTCAATTTCCAACAAGGACAAATGTGAGCCTGTCTTATCTGGCTGTGCAGGAGCTCATGTTCACATATAGTCATAAGCAAACTGAAGTTTTTTTTGCATGAAAATTGTAATCTTTTTTCCCCCAGAATCAGTCCAACTCAAAATAGTCTATTCCTACACAAAGCCAAGCCAAATTACCTTAATAATGAACAAATTAACAATATTGCAGCATCAAGATCCTAAAATCAGCACAAGAAGAAACAAAAAAAACAATGGTATCCCACAGGAAAAATTAAAGATCTTGCTAGGTTCAACAAGCTCAAATTCCAATACAACATGCAGCTACACTGTAGGTCTATGAACTTGATTTGGTACAACAGAATACCAAAAGATCATATGTTTTGAAAGTCAGAAGTGAGACCAAGTTGTAGATTCAGGAAATGTGTACATACAATAGGCCAGTTCATGTCTGGAATTCAAGGCAATTTTTAGGTTTTCGGCAAATTTGTTAAATTGTGATGATAAATGTCATTAAATTTGCCTCAAAGCTCAGACGTGAACTGTACTAATGAACAGAAAAGTGACCAGAAATTTTTCTAATGTACCATACATTCAGGGATAAAAAAATCTATAAATGGAAACCCTGTTTTGAAGCCCTTTAGTTTACAAAAAAGAAGGAAGCAGTGAGAGATGTTCAAGTACCACCATAACACAACATAGTTTCCAACTGGAACCAACAAAATGTGATCAAGAAACCTGGAACAATTCATGGAAGTGATGGATCTTGAACCACACAAAGCTATTGAACTGATGTCTCTTAAAAAACAAGGAGACGTCTTTGACCGATTGGCATAGTCACCATCATCTGCCATGGATCAACTGAGGAACAGTGGCCAGAGAAGCACCAATTCTACCATCAGAAAGCTGAGAATAACCATCCTATCTTTAACCAAACACCTCCAGATGCTTCACATCTTTTTTTTTGTGTGTGTGCTCCTCAGCTCATGCTGCCTAATTGCCACAAGCACTGAATTTCCTCTTGGCCAGTTGTGAAGGGGGGGATAGTCAAAACTGACATGGTCACAAACCAAAACACAAAGGTACCAGATCTGTATGATTTCACCTTTGGGGTTGTGGTCTTTGATAACACAGTTGTCTGCGGAGAAACTCTGAATCTTAACATCTGCCAGGATGGCACAAGTGGTTTTTTTGTTGGGGTACAGGGGATATCCATCCTTGTTGAGTTGTCAGCCATGGGAATGAAGGCAACTTGGTATTTTTACTAGGGGTGATTCCCACCACTTTTGCACCCCCATAGAGGGGGTTGTGAAACGAGCTTAACTAGGTCTCCACGGCGGGAGCGTTAGCGAGCAGCGGAGCTGTCCACGCCAGTGGAGGCCTATGACAAATGCAACAATCCCCGCGTGCTGAGATTTTGGATTTGGGCTAAAAACCAGGTTTTTTGTGTACTTTCCCATCTAGGCCCTTCCTCATTCATACTTATCAGATTTCCTTCTGGGCCTGGGAGGGCCTGCCTCTTCCATATACTTCTCACTGCTCACTTTTTTCTGTTATATTGTCATTTTTTTTGCAGAAGCTGTTGAAAAGGACAACTTTTCTATTCAAGTTGACATCTTTTGGTGTGTTCGAGTTGAGCGAACCCCGCGTTTGAGCTTAAAAAAAGTTCAAACCATGATTTTAAAAAATCATCATAAAATTACAAGGGGCTGTCCTGGTTTTGAAATTTGGATAGATTGACAAGATCATCCAGCACTTCAAGAAAATTTTCTCAAACATTCTCAAAGTCTTGAGGGAGCGTCGTGATTCTAAATCTTGTGACGCTCCCACCAAAACACTAGAAACTCAGCACCTGAGTTTGGTGACCTCTGGCCCAAGTCTCCCCTGCGGGGAGTTCCCTTCGGGAACCGCCTGGCCAGCGCTACGCTGCCAGATGCGCCCGCCGCAGCTGGAGACTTGTGTCAAGTTCGGTTGTGAAACTGCCAGTGCTTTCCTTGTTAGAGAAATTTGAAAGCACTCCATGACCGAGCTTTTTACATTCAATAGATTTGGCCCAAAATGATGTACAAATCGGGATTGTGAAGTTTTGAGGTAACGGTTTTTTTACAACGACATATCAGTATAAACGATGGTTAAGAGGAAGTCGGATAAGAACAAAATAGGCAAAAAAAAGAAGCTCCGAGAGATCAAGTGTTGAACATGAAAGCATCGAGGAAGTTTTCAGCAGCCAATTGGTGAAGTCTGTTCCATTGATAGAACCAAGCCTTGTAGTACATCTTATGAGAAGGTTGATCGGCCTGATGGACCACCGGAACGAAAATGTGGTTCACGATCGTGGTGATCATTTTAGGAGCAGTTTGAAGACGAGAGATTGAACCATGGACCGTCATAATATCTTCGAACTCATCTCCACCAATAACCCCGCACAGACCCTCGACGAGCTTCTCAATACACCCAGAAACCATCGTCGTCAGTCCAGCAAATATAGAGAGCTCCCTGGAATTCAGTTCAGTCACCACGCGGAAGTGTTCTTTGTCGGTCGACATCTTTGATAGCTTCGCCAAGAACAATCTGGTTAATTTGATGAGTGCTATCGCCGACTTTGTGGTCTGAGGTTGATGGCTTGGTTGAGTGATATTGGATCTAGCATTCCCACGCCGGGCTCCGGCGTGAGCCGCACGTGGATTACCGGCTGAACGCCTTCCGTTTTTTGATCGGGGCGCGAGTCGATGGAGGAATTCGAGAAACTTTTTGAGCGAGCCATCGATCGATTCCATATGCGACCGCCATGCGTCTTTCATGAAATCCGATTCGGATTTGTTCATGAATTGGAGTGCCCTATCGAGAGAAACCGAGAAAGTATCTGTGATCGTGAGTACCTTGGCCTTCTTCTGAGGTTGATCGATGGCAAATGCGTGTCCTGAGTCTTCAATAAAACGACAGGAGACTCGCAGTAATTCGCAGACGTATCCAGTGACCAGGTCTACTATGATCCCCAGACGGCAACATATCAGTTGTTTCGCTTTTTTGAAGTCCTTGTCATGAGTCACTTCTTCTGGGTCCAAGCTGGGGTTGATACAAGCTATAGCAAATTTGATTTTACCCAAGGTGACGTCCAACTTGGACAAAACCTTCAGGACTAGTGTGAGCTTTGAAAGTGGATCGTTTTGAGAATTGGTGGGGCTGATCAGTGCTGTGGAAAGGGCGATGACTTGTCGTCTTAAGCTAGGGAAGCGTTTTGATCGGAGTTGATCCAAGAGCTCCGTCCTCATCTCGACTTGGTTGAATATTTCGAGTGGGTCTGGGCGGTTGTGGATGCCATCGGAGAGTGAGGAATACGCATTGTTGAGACGTGCTAACTCATTGGAGACCATAGCTAGAGTTTTCATCGACGCCGAATCAGCCAGTTCTTCCCAACTCTGCAAGATATGGTGCGCATTACTAACCTTCGTGGCATCTAATCGGATGCGCACAGCGTTCATTTCCTAGTGAGGCGAAGGAGTCGATTAATCCAGATATCGGGTTAGCTTGAGTGTTGACCATGGTGTTGAGCCGTCCAGCGTTGATAGTGGAACTGAAGGGTATCGACCAAAGAGCTGGGGGTCCCACTCAAGTTCTTGGTATTTATGCGAGGTCAACAGTCCGCAGGAGCGGGGTGCCGGGTTTCATGGAGATGGAGCTTGGAGGTTCTGTCTGAGAGACGATGAGTTGCTTGAAGACTGGTTTCACGATGTATCAAGGAGTCGCAGGATACACACTTCGGGGTCTCAGAAGCATCGATGCCTCGATGGGAAAAAATCAAAAGTGCCCTTCAGCGAAGGGAATGAGATGATGATGCAGATTGATGGGTAAAGGCGCAGCGGTTCCTAACTTAACTAAACCGTAAAAGTATGTAACTGCGCCGACCGATGGTTAAGTTACTGTTTACACAGCCCTCCGCACCTCAGCCCTCCATCTTTCCTGCCATCCACCCACGTCTCAAAACATCTCTCCATCCCCTTCGCCATCAAGCTAGAGGCGAAGGAAGACAACTTCACGTCATGAGTTTGTCAGCTTATAAAAAAAATTGACAGGCATGATTGCAACGTCCTATATGCAGCCCCAATCAATCACCTTATTGCAAGGCTCCCCCCAGCAAGCTAGGGTATAAATACTACTGTTAGCGTAGCTGGCCGAGCATTAAGCTTGAAGCAAGATGTAACGTTTTGGTGACACTGGCAACAACCTTGTTTGCTTCAAATCGGCCCCAACATCAGAGCTCATAGCAATCAGACCTGACATACTTTTAAGCGATATCGAGCACCTGATCAAACAGGTCAGCTCTCGATATTTCGCAAGAAGTCGCTCGCGGTCCGATTCCGACTCCCAATGGCGCTGATCAACTTGCTGCCGGTAAGCAAGATGATGTGTAGACCGGTGAAATCACTCTGGCATTGGCAACACATTTGTTGCTTTGTCTATCTGTTGAACCGGTTCACAGGAGGCCCGGCATCACTGTGGAATTCTACCGCTACGCTGCGTGCCTCTTACTATTCAAGCTTAAACTCAGGTGTAAGGAACAGTCTTAGGCACGAACTGTAGTGAATAGGAAGTTATACCGAATCACAAAGCGGTCTTGGCTGGTAAATCTAGATTGCTTCGAGCGAAGTCTAGCCATTCTTTTCAAATTCTTTGAAACGAGCACAAGCACACCAGTTTGGAAGCCAACTCTTGGTCTCATCACGGGCGACTGATGAATGCAGACCTTTGACCCGGCGCATGTTGCTTGTATGCGAATGACCTTCATTCGGACTCTGAGGCTGTATCATTCTTCATCATGAGCAGGGCAGCTCGATGCCCTGCTGTCTCCTAATAGCCGGACGCTCAACGTACCTCAACAGCTGATGATCCCCAGAGGCTGGCAGTGGAGTATATAAGAACATGGCTTCTTTGTCTCATCCCAGCCTCATTATTCCTCATCATTCGCTACCAAGTCTTTCGTTACAATCCACTGACAGTTTCAATAAATAATTTAGTCGAATTGCCATCAACTTCCACATTTGCCACTTAAATATCCTGAATACCCCAGTGATTATCAAGCGCATACCAACCTACCAACACTTTCTCTACAAAAATGTTTGCCCGTCTTTCCTTACTCGTATTGCTCCTCACGGCCAGCTTGTCTGCCGCTTCACCTTCCTCACCTCAAGGCACCCCAACAACTCCACTGCTCAAGAGGACCACACGAACTGCGCTTGCCAAAAAAAGTAACAACAGCACCCCTGTCGCCCGATCCTTGCCTCTCCTACCTATCCTCGGACAAATCTTACCGGTTTCAGCCAATTTGAAAGTCGATATCTGTCTGGATCTCTCAGTCAAGGTTCTTGGTATTGCCACTGTCAACGTTTTTGCAACCGCTGCTTTGGCTGCTAGTATCACATCGAAAGGAATTTCAGTCGACGAATTAGCGGTTGTTCAAGCTTCTCTTGCCGTAAGCACAACCTCACTTGAGTTGAACCTTCTCCGTTAGAAAAAAAAAACTAAGTTGCCTCTTTAATTCCATCTCATTTGTTTTCTAGGCTGAGTTGGCCGATGTAGCCCGTGTATCAACCACCGCTTGGGCATGCGAACAGGCTTGCACTTCTGATAGTCAGCCCTTGTTTCACCTATGACCTTTACTTTCTTGATCAATCCTGTACTGAAAATGAGATCAAACAGTCTGCAGCAGCCATGCCTTTGATCGAGTGTCCCGTACTTGCACACTTGCTCCTAAACAGTTGACAACCAGATCCAACATCCTCGCGAGACTCATCGCCCAACTTGGCTTGCTTGGCCGAAGCTCTCCTCGATACTGTCAACTCTGCTGTAAGGCTTGCTCACCATCTTCCGCAACATTAAACCATATCTGATCGCTTCTTATCGATTTAATATTGCTAAAATCTAATCCAAACATTCCAGCCCATCGTTGTTCGGCAGCCAACAGCGCGCCCAGCGCCGCCGCCAGACAACGCAAACGACACATTAGCACCGTTGGTCACTGTCCCACTGGATACGATGGTACGCAATCCGTAGTTGCATTTTATCATTCACATCTTGGCTGATTTTATTTCGCATGATAGCCTGTCCTTTCAGCGCTTTCTCCACCTCTCAAGGTTATGAATGTGTCATCACCCAAGACGAGTTAGAGTAAGTCTTACCAAGTCTTGCCCATTTATGACTATCCACTCACTCATTTCATTTTCGCAGACATTGCGGTGGCTGTTCCACCACTGGAGAGGGGGTTGATTGCACCACTGTTGTCGGTATCAAGAACCCGGGATGCTCGCGCGGCCAATGTATTGCTTGTGAGTAGGATTCTTTTGTATCAAAATTACTGCCCAATCAACAAAACGAATGCTAATGCTCGACATGAATTTTTTCGATCGATCCAATAGTCGAATGCGAGGAAGGATACTACCTCTCACCAGAAAAGACCTGTCTCCGACGTATCTAACCATTTCGCCGTCTTTTCTCTAAGCCGGATTTCTCTTCCGAGCCTTCTCCATTCTTTTAGTCATATATAAGTGTTGTATTTGTAACAGTTTAGTGCCCCTCTTTATCCTTGATCATTTGAGTCTAGTATATCTATGCGCTTGGGTCTTCTATAGTTTTTCTCTCAGGGCCATCGCCGTCTGTTTCAGCAGTCCTTCATTTACCGATCGTTCACATCAATACAGACAATGTCATTTTTCTTGATTATCTAACTCTCTACATTATTCAAATCGTAAGTACGTCAATTCAAAAAGGCTTAAGAACTCGCAAGACAAGTCGCGTGTGAGTTGTCTTGTTGAGGTTTTCAGGATATCGCTAGGCGACCTAAAGACCTTTGAAATCAGATTCTCCGAAATTTAAATTTGGTTTCCAAAATGGAGTGGATATGTAACATATCAGACTGCTGTGATGCTTTGCGCGCGTTCTACCACAACTATCCTCCCCTCACCGTTCTTGCCTAGAAGTTTGAGATGTAGAATTCAAGATTGCTAAGGAATTCCCAACATCATCAAGATGTGTCCAATAAAAACAACGAACAGCCAGGCATAGGCCTTGATGACATCGTTTATGATTCTGACAAACTGAGGTAAAGGGATTCCCGACATTGTGAGATCACTTGGGAAGTTATCTTGTTGACTTGGGTTTACAGATGTGAGCGTAACTGTCAGAAAGGGGTCTACTAAAGAAGGCAACTCTGGAGGGGATATAAAAGAGGAAAGAAAAAAAACCGGCTCAACTCACCGAAAAATCCGATATTTTCCATCACATGGGCATTTCCGCAAACCCAATCGAATGATATAATTAAACCGTACATCAAACGCTCTAACCGGCAAGAGACGGAAGCTCAGCTTTTGAATGATATCTGGAGAGTACAGAGACCAATATGTATTCAACATTGATCTTGCATCGAATTGCAACAGCCTCAGCCTTCAAGAGAGCCTCTTCCTACCAACTGTTGCTTGAGTTTGCTCTTGATTCACCATGACTGCGTTGAATTTGATTCGACTGTTATAAGTAAAGGTTTGTCTAAGAGTAATGAGGAACAGAAAAGAATTTTAATCATTTATCAGTGAAACTTAAAGGTTGTTTGGGTGGTTAGGTGGTTAGGTAGAACGTTTTACTTGCCTCCATTGGTATGCCGCTTTGAGATTTTCGCGCCCGTTGCGAGTGAATATCTGATTGAAAACTGGGTAAAAGATTGCTGCATCTTCGGTATAATATCTAAAGAAATAAAATAAAAAATGCAAGACATATTTAGGACATCGGTTAGTTGAAAGACAGGATTGAGCTTCTGTTCGGCATCTCACTTGTCGATGTTTCTGAAAATCTCATCGGTTGAGGGTTCTGTGACTGAAAGAACAACACCGGCGAGCTAATTCCAAGTTGAAGGATCATTGAAATGAGAAACAAAATTGGGCTTCTGTCCGGATGCTTGTAGGAAAAAGCAAATCTGTAGAATGCAGCTTGTACCTCTTCAATCGGGTTTTCCATTATTTTCACTACTCCTGAACGAAATGTCGAGTCTCTTCCTGTGTCGATGGACCACTATGCTCACTGGAATAATTCAGGATAATCCGGCTGCGATGAGGTTGACGCAGTTAGAAAACAAGCAAAAGCAGCTTGCTTATAAAGATTAAAGTAACTCTCAAACATTCCTTCGCTCATGGTGCGTGGTATGCAAGGAAGAAACATAGGGGGTTGGACAGACCCAGCTCCTGGCTTTGGAATCTCAATGCCACTTCAGCTCACTGCCAACCTAGTTTATTGGCTTCCATCAGTTCACGACAGGCTTTTTGAGTCATAGAGTATACCAATCTACACCAATGTTCCTCCAGTACATAAGATGAGAAATCAAGCTTGAGGAGTAACAACCGAGTAACAACCAAAAGATGCGCATCAAGCTGGATTTCTAGGTTAGTAATTACACCAGAAGTGTGGTTGGGGGCCCGGACAGGCACACTCACTTGGCTTCGGATCAATCACTGATCTCAGCTCCGAAATCCATCGTGAACGGTCCGCTCAATGCGGAAAAACCCACCAGCAAAACGTCCCGTTTCCTATTGATTCCATCAGATAGCCCTGACAAATTTGTGTCGGGATGAGCGATCGGTCTGCTCAGAGTGGAATGCCGCCTACCATTCCACCTTGGCATTGCTGACAATGGAGCCGGGTTGACATCCGGACAAAAGTGATAGGGGCGAGGCCATTCCCATCTTGTGCAACCCATGAGGACTAAGATCGAGTCCAATGAGGGTATAAGCTCCGGCTGGACGTAAAATCTACACACCTCGACCCCATTGGAGTACTACAAAAACGCCATCATTGCATGGCAGACACACGCTCAAGCTGACAGTGAAACCCAGAAAATTTCTGTTAACAATCAGTCTCCCCTGAGACTTAGAGCAAAGTAAAAAAACAGGACTGGATCATTCATTCCGCTAACTTGGAATAGCTCTGCAAGCTCATCTTCCAACTGAGAGCTCCTGATGGATGATACTACGGTAGGTTTATTTCCCCTCTGAATTCTCTCCCATTCAGTCTTCTTCCTCTGGCCGCACCTCGACACAATCTTCTATTCATTCTCAGGAGAATTCTAATTACTTTCACAGCTAATCCATTCCGTAATTATGGTAATTGTTTTCTTTCTTCTTTCAGTGGTGTTTTCATTCAGCTTTACTTAATTTCTGTGAGTCTTAATTAGCTCGCTGCAATACTCCTGCATTTGGGACATTGAAAATCTATTGCGAAAATCAGAGGAATAATTTCTATCTCAGGTGTGGGTCACAACCTGTCAAGGATGACTAAAATTCGCCAATGTGCTTCATGACCCATCCCGTTTCATCTAGATCAAATCTGCCTGGGGGAAGTTATAGGGACCAAGACAATGATTGAACAGAAGCTATTTGAGATAGAAATATGGGATTGTCAGAGTCCAAATTTACTGATTCTCATGGTCTGTGTAGCTTTACATCCCCAATGATCCATTGTTTGATAGACAGTGTAGGTAAGAGAGAGAGACCATGGGGGACAAGAAGAAACCCAATAAAAATGTGATGAGGTTTACGAGAGGACTTCCAATCGATGGATCATCAAACCAACAACGGGTCTCGGACGGCATTTAAGCAAGGTAAATAGATTGATCGAGAGAAGACGGTAGTGCAGTAGTACCCGGATCAAAAGATTCCAAACATCATGAATATCCGTCCCCAGGCGACAACAAACAACCATACTAGCGCCTTGATCACGTCGTTTATGACTCGGATGAAGGTTGGTAGGGGGAGTCCACATTGGGTAAGATCGGTTGGGAAATTATCGTGTTGACTGAGAAGGAAAAAAAAAAGAAGAAAGGATAAGAGGCCTCGAAACTATGTAGAAAAAAAAATGAAACGAAAAGAATGAGGTGGAATCATACGGACCGATAGATTCGATACTTGTTATCTTCAGCACTTCTCCGCAGCGCTAGTCGAACGATAAAATTGCACACAACGTTGACCGAGTCGATTGGGAGCAACCGAACCCGAACCGATTGAGTAAGGTCTGATCCAAGTGAGCACACGTCACAAAAGAGGCAAAGGTTGATGGTCAGGTCCAAGGGCTCCCGGAGTTGACTCGAATGATTTTGGATTTGGATTTCAAATGAAAACCCTCACCGATCGTTGCTTCGGTTTGTTCCTTGTTCACCATCACTTCATGGATCTCAATCTTGATCCCAAATCCCAACGCTCTCCTGTGTCCAAATAAATAACAAATACCTTTTTTTCACTCGAACAGATGTTCCTTTTTTTTGTTTCAGGTTGTTTTGACGTACGAGACTTGGTATGCCGCCTTGAGGTTTTGCCGTCCATTACGAGAGTAAATTTGGGACAAGTTGAAGTAGAGTAATTGGGCGTCTTCTGTAAAGTATCTGGAAGTGCATTTATTTATGATTAATAAGTAAATGGTCAAAGGCCGGAATTTTGCGATTTGCGTTCCGCCGTATCCGGTTTCTCAGACTGCTTGGTTCGTTGTTTCCATCCTGGTGTATTGGGAAGCTTGCGTGGGATTCACTTATCTATGTTTGCCAAGACTTGAGAGGTGTGTTCGACCTCGGTCACTGAGCGGACAACGTCTGCGAGCTGCTTCGACCAGAATAAATAATTGTGCAGCAAAACACTTTTAGCCTGCACAGTTGTCGAGAAGGACTAGACAGATCGGATGAAGACAAGTCTCTGAAGAAAAACCAAGTTAAAATGTCTTGATCACGAACCTCCTCGATCGGGTTGTCCATTCTCCGGCACTGAAAACACTTGGAGACTTTAGTCTTGGCCCCAGGAGAATCAAATATCTACTGTCCTTTATGGAGGATATTGTGCACCACCGACAACATGTCCTGGTCGGACACTCCGAGCGAAATCCTGAATGTCAAGGTATGAGTCTGAAGCCCCGACAGGAGTCCGAATTCTGAAGATAGACCAGAGATCTTCCAGATAGACTTGCCGTCTACACACAGTCTCAAACGTCCCAGGAGAGAAATAACGAACCCCCGAACAGGGTGATCAAAAGTTACCAAGACTGCAAGCGGGAATAAGATTCACATGTGAATTTGACCCAGATCAACAAGATCCGCTGGCGAGTTACAATGATTCAAATAATGTATGTACATGTTTCGATGATAGCCGGTTTACAAGCGCTTGGGTTTGATAAGAAACAATGTATACAACCAGCCCGGCAGATATTCCTAGACAAATGAGCTAGTGGCTTGGAAACTTAGTGTATTGGAGAAAATCATTGTAGTTTGCATTTTCCTTGTCGTGCATAGTGCCAGGAGGAAACACTCGTGGGATCGATTGATCATATATGAATTTTGAGAGGATCGAACGTAACCTAGGAATTGTTGGCTGTATAGATCCCTTGAATGCTGATAATCAATCAGATTTAATATTTCGGGTTTAACTTGTCTTCTGCCGCAGGCGTCGATTCGTTGAATTTAATACTAATCTGTTTTTTTGATGGCCAGAGATAATGTCGATGGTCAAAATGATTTTCACTGAATCGCATGAAGAGAGAAATCTTACCGAGTTCACACAATCTAAACCGACCAAAAATTCCGACATAAAAGGAGTAAGCGGTCATCCGAAGGAGTGATGATCAAGAAGAGTGGATAAAGGCAGGACGCCAAAAAAAAACAGAAACGGACGTCTTTCATCAGTTGGATGGCCGTACCCTTCGCCCTTGAAGACGTGACCCAAATGACCACCACAATTGGTGCAAGTGATTTCGGTTCGGACTCTACCAAAACTTCTCTAGAGGACGGGACAGAGATCGGACGATCAATCAGATAAACTTTCGCTCCCTCTCCTCCTCTGCCAGCTGTAGCTGCTATGTAACTCAGGTTCGGCCATGATTACTTACGTCTTCGTGGCGACTCACTGCCCCTGGAAAAGCATCAAAGAAAGCTACAAGAAGAGATGATTTGATTCAGGATCGCCTGCTCTTTTTGAATGGTGTTGTTCAGATGAACTTTGTAGCTGAGTAAAACTAACTAAAACTTACCAGGCCAACCACATCCGCTGTTAAACTATCCGCATCAATCAATGCAGAAAGGAAGAGAGCTTTAATTAATGTTGGTTTATCAAATCATTAAACAGATGAACTTGTGATCTGATGATGATGAGAGCACCTTGTGGTCATACCGATCTGGATGTTGAAAAAAGTTATGTATTCAGAACTTGAACCAACACGATCTTCGCGTATAAGAATATGTTTTCTTTTTTGATGTGGTGGTACTGTAGATACTTGGCTTACAGAGTGGAGCAGCACATCCAGCACACTCATATATCCCATGATCGGGTTGGTGTTTATTATATTCGCCTGTACCCGCCATTTCGGTGCCTTTTTTCCTATTGTTGAAAGATGAATCAGTTTCTTGCTTTGTTTTGATCAGTAATAAGTGTTTATATTCTAGTCTTACCTTAATATTCTGAATTGTTCAGGGTCTAATCTGAGTCTCCATTCTTCTTCAGTCTTGGGTAAGTTTGATGATTCGGTCATTCTGTTTTCTTGGTGATTTTGTGGTGTATGGCTGGAGAAGGATTGTTGAGGTTGGTGGGATAGGCTGGTTTGAGTTTGAGGTCGCAGTCTGATTCTTTGGTTGGTTGGTGTCCACTGGCGATTGAGTAGTAGTCGGAGGAGGGGCTGTGTTGGCTTGAGTAAGCTCATGGTTGATTTATTGTGCTCTAATTTGCTGTGAAGATGGCAAGAGAGTGGTGATATAGAGTGTCTGATGACGTCATCATCCAACTGCCCCTCCAACAGTCAATCACACAGCACTCATCATCTTCTTCTTCATCTTCCTCTCCTTCCCAATCCCACCAAGGTCTTAGCCAGAACCACAAAATCCACAAAACCAACCCAACCATGTCACCACTCAGCCCAGTCCCATCCAGCAAACAACCTCAATCCAAGCGAGCCATGTTGGGAAGCGTCTTCAACCAGATCACCGAGATCACCAACATCAACAACCTCAGGCAATTCCAGGCAACCTATGACCCTCGTCAAGCGTAAGAAGCACTCACTATCAAAAAAAAAAAAAAAAAAAAAAACTATCAAAAAAAAAAACTAAAACTGAACTGATTTTATAATGACTTACAGTCCAGAAACATTGAAGCTTCAATTGCTCATCAAAGCACAGAAGAGCCTCGTAGTCGACTCAGAAGGATTGGCGCGGGACTCACACATGGTCTCCAAACAGCTCTACCTCTGGGCATGCGAACAACCCGATCAAGCACTCAAGGATGTCGGCGATCGATTGGCATACATGAACTACCAAATCGGAGATCTCCAACAACAGTGCTCTAAAACCCTCGAAAAATCTAGAAATGATCTCAAGGAGATTCGCAACTTGGAGGCATGTCTCAAGCTCATTACTATACATACGCATCAATCTGATCTGATCTTTTTTCTTTCTTTCTTTCTGTTTCTCAATCTTAGAACGAGTTAATCAAAATAGTCAGTAACTCTTACTTCGAACAACCAAATCTTGTTGATACTGAGACCATGTATCGGCTGAATAGCGCGATCGAGAAAAGACGCTTCAAATTCAAATCAACAAACTTCTCCAAGATCCACGACAGAGGCCAGAGACCAGTGAGAAGATCAGCTCGCTGACAGCCGAGCATGCTGCAGTAGTAGAAAAGATGAAAGAGACCGAAGCGATGATCCCGGCGCACAAGCGTTTATTGATCAAGAGCTCATACCGCACCCAGTTCGAGGCCCTTCGCGAGATGGGCGATAAGCTGATGATCATCAGCCAGTTCGGCGACCTCTTACTCGACGAACTTCCTGAAGATCCTCATCTTCAATACTCGGGAGAAGACCGCACCGCTCAGATCAAGGGGGCCGCTTCACAAGCCCTATCGGATTATAATGGCCCCGTCTTCTCAAGACCCAATACTGATCTAGGCAATCTTCACAGCTCACAGTTAACTGGCGGAGGTTCATCATCATTACATCGCACCGATACTCGGTGAGTAGCAAACTTTCAAATATAGGGTCTGATTTGCCCCCTCTAACATCTTGATTTTTTTTTCCACCTGTTGGTTTGTTCTATACATACGCAGATTGTTTAGTGAAACTCACCCGCATGTGCTGGCTGACGTCTCGAACGATTCGCACGCAGGTGCGAACATTGGATCCTCTAGTAGTCACTCACCAAGGCCAAGTGGCAGTACGACGACTGGAATCCTACCGGTAAACCACCAACCTGCCTTTGTGCCCTCGTCCCAACCGCCCAAGCTACCCAACAGACCCTGTTCAAACTTTGCTGAGAGCAGCAGCCATCCAGGAGGCAGTTCGGCTGAGAAGATGCACACCTTCTTTGCGTCGCCTGAGCTCGAACACGGCCAGCCTACCGTCGCTGAGGTCGGCGCTCATGTCCCAACAACCACCAACGGGCCCGCCCAGGGAATCCTCCATCCTCCTCATTCACAACAACAACAACTTCATCATCAAGACCAAAGTCAACAACAGTCTCAGGACTCAGACCAGCTTCCTGCTTACAGTCCCGTTCCGCCTGAGAAACTTTGACCGCCCCGATCATCTATCTGCTCATGGACTTTTTTTTCTTCTTCTTCTGCCCCACTCACCTTTGTACTTGTTTATACAATCATAATTCACTTCAACTACAAAGTGCTTGTCTCTTGCAGTGACTTCTTTTTCTTTCCCATCCTCATATCAAGTTTTACTATTTATTAATTTATTTACTCTTTTTGCACTTGTTTATTCGCAAAATTTTGAATTAAGGTTGAAATCTCAAGAAAAGAAAAATCGTGATCATCATCGTCATCATATAGCATAACTATCATCCTGTACAACTTCAATATTAAGGTGATATCAAGACTGATTGATGGCGGAAATCAGAAGCAAGAAAAGAGAGAAAATAATCGACCATGGTCAACGTATCATCAAATCAGAAGTAATTGGCACAAGTGTTTGAAGTTTGAACAATGTGATGGCATGATTGCTTGTGGAAGCAGGGGATAAGGATGTACGGTGTGTTGCACATGCAATCATTGAGCTCTGCGTTGGAAACACAGACTTTCTTTTTTGTTCCTTCAAGTCTCTGCAGGCGAAACTGCTTTCAAGACCTCGTCCACCGGGGCTTCGTTAATATCTGATCGCCACTTGTTGGCGATATAGTGGTCTGTTCGGCCCCTGGGCTTGCTACGTTGGAGTTTGCAATTTCTCATTGGAGAAATTGCAAACTCCACTCATTCACATGGCACGTGTCTGGTTCCTCAAACTCACTCCCTGTCTCTTGGTCTCCATGCCGCTGCCTTGGGCCATAAGGGAAAGCCCGCGTCTGGAACCTCACATCGCACTTTGCTTCATCTCGTGAGTCGGAAGAAGGCAAGTGAAAAAGGTTATCCGGCCTCAACTTGGTGATATTCATCAAGAACACACCAATAATTTCCAACCCACTTCACATGAGTTGCAGACCGTAAAGCGTCGATCTCCAAACAAGCATGTTGGCTTGTTCTATTGCAGAGGCAACCGTTACGGAATCATTGACCCACCGGCGCATTGTCTGTTGGCCTCTTTTGGGTTTTGGATGAGTCAAAAACAGCTTCCTGTTCACATCTAAGGGACTCGGCAGGCCGAGACTAGACAAGTACAAGCGCTGTTGTCTGTCTATGTAGCTGAGAATTTTATTTGCACACACGTGTATATATGGTATGCAGTTGAGTCAACATTGACTCCTAGCTACGTCGCAACATCACCTTTACTCAAAGAGTTTAAGATTCGATAAGGCTCTAGTGCACCCAGGTGGTCCTAAGCACTTTTGTGAACCGTCCGCCCATCTCATTAAGGCCCCTCATAGTCCTCCTATACCCACCACCTCCGCAAATCGAAACCGGTTTTTATCTTGATTTTGTGGAATTCATTCCTGCCGGCAGGCTTCACCGTTCTATCCAAATTGAAAAATGGCGACTCTTTCAATCTTTTTACACGGCCTCACAATGCTTTCTTTTCTTGGTTCTGGGGGTGCGACTGCAGTCTCCGACTGTCTGGCACTCAAGCCTTATCAGCTCAAAACTCCCCCACTGACCACTGACTGGACGGAGAAGGTGGGTATATCACCATGGCCCGAATACCCTCGCCCATTACTAAGAAGGGAGGATTGGATGAACCTGAACGGTCCATGGCAATTCAAACCGGCCAAGGACTCTCAAGATATTCACCGTCCGCCGTTCGGCGGATGTGGGTTCGCCAGTGAGATCCTGGTGCCTTTTCCCATGGAAAGCGGGCTCAGTGGCATCATGAAAAATAACATGTACAGCTGGTATCGAAAGACATTCGTTGTCCCTGAGGGCTGGTCGGGTAGCAATGTCTTGGTGAACTTCGGAGCAGTGGATTATGAAGGTAATTACAAGACGCGCTTCCTGTAGAATTTTAGGAATGTCGCTGTTTACATCCTCCCTGAGCTTCACTTACCACCGTTTGCAAACCCACCATATGTGCAGCCACGGTATTTGTTAATGGAAAGACCGCTGGGTTCCACCGAGGAGGATATTTCAGATTTGCCTTGGATTTGACTGACGCGCTTAACGAGCCGGGTGAAGAGAACGAACTGCTGGTGTTTGTCTATGACCCAACCAATTCCAACGGCACGCTAATCCCCAGTAAGTTTCATTTACTTCATCTCAATATTTTGCTTTCATAAGCAGTTGAACTGACTCTCAATTAATTCGCTTCTTTGGATAGCCGGCAAGCAAGTTTTGGATCCCAGTCACTATTTTTATACTCCTAGCAGTGGGATCTGGCAAACGGTATTTCTAGAACCAGTTCCCAAAGAACACATTCTAGAGATTGTGACCACCGCTGTGGTAAATAATACTGTGTTTCTACGCAGAAAAATATAAACATTTATTATTATCTCTTTATATATTATATATATGGTAAAAATAACATCAGAAATGGATTTCTCAGGTAAAATTACCCCTAGTCACCCACTACAACTGACCCCATATCTCTCCTAGTTTAGAAGTTACACAGATTTCAACCTGTCACGGGATATCTTTTGGATTCTTTACTCTCAGTATGGCTTGTTTTGAATACTGGATGCATATTGAATATTGAATTCCTTTGTGTTGTATTGAATTCCTTTATGGGCACATAGTGCATATTGAATTCCTTTGTAGGTGCACATGCATTCCTTTGTAGTAGGACCTTGTAGGCTAGCTAAATTCCCTCAAGGCAGTGCTCTCACCAGCCAAATTCCCTCACCTGCATGTACTAGACTAGCTAAAATCCCTCATTGGATCTTCAGGCCAGCTAAAATGCCTCAAGAACCTGTACCCTGGGGCTAAAATCCCTCACATTTGTCTATATAAGGAGGCCTCTGCCTGCCAGTTGTTGCCGCCCATGATCCCACCAGAGGACCAGATCATCTCAACCCACATTACAGATTATATACAAGTGACAGCTATAACAATACATTATATTGAAATACAATCATAATACTTTCATCATCATAACAAGTGCCAAGTGCCCATAACCTGCCTCATATACCATTACTGGTTGAAGCATAGTGCTCCCAGAGCTCCAAGCCTTGGTTTTAAAGCTTTGAACAACATCTTCATCAATATAATCATCACTCATTTATAACTTCAGACCTTATACACATCACTCGGAAGCTTCATCTTGAACTATCCTCTATCACGATAAATATAACTGCCAAGCTAAGCTTGGTGGTCTTGTTGTTCTGATAGCATAGAAGGGCAGAGCTTGCAACTCCATCATCCCCTTCTCCATTCAGCACAAGGGTTTTCATAACCACTTTTGAGTCTTACACCGCTCATGCGGATGGAAGTGGTGAGTAACTCTTCGCAAATTATCTCTGAGGAATAGCCCTCCTCACGTATCGATTCTTGCCAGTCAAAATAAAGGTTTCCACTTCGAACAGTGCTTCGAACACGCCATTGAAGGTCACGTTATTCAACCCAACCATCTCTTCTTCGGATTCGCCTCTCTATCCGTGCTCTCTGGGCCCCCCTCTCCAGCAACACCAAGGAACTGCCAACACCTTTGTCACTTTCACTGTGCCTTATGCTCAGCTTTGGTCCCCCAGCAACCCATTCCTCTATCACTTTGAAGTAGAATTAGGACAAGATACTGTTCAGAGCTATCTAGGTATTCGGACGATTGAGAAGAGAACAGATAATAGAGGAATTTTGCGACCTTTCCTAAATGGACAATTTGTCTTTCAACTGGGCACGCTGGATCAGGGCTTTTGGCCCGACGGTCAGCATGCTTGTCATTCGACTGGTTAACAATCATTCACTGATTTTTTTTGTTTTGTTGATTTTTTCCCGCGATAGGTCTTCACACCGCTCCAACGTTTGAAGCCATGTGAAGCCGGAGGGCTAACAGGACTCTGGGACTGTAGAAAGGCTGCGGCTGCGAAGCAGAAACTATATGCAATGCAATGGAAACTATAACGATGAAGCTAAAAGACTATGAACAAGGTATGAGAAAGTAGATAACTAGATGACTGGAGAACAACAAGAAGGGGGAAAGCTCGAGGGTTTATATACCCGAGATGATGAGTGAAACACCAAACAAGATAAGCGGAGAGCCGCATACAATAGTGGACCAAGGCGGTCAAGTCTGGATGAAACCAGGGGCTGCGTATCAGCCCGAGCCAAAAAGGGGAAAGAAGGAAACGTGAGGGTCCAAGGTGTATCGCCGTGGCCCTAAGTAGGCGGTGTCGTCGTGGCGCCGGCTACACATGACCTATGACCTGAAGGTTTTGAAGCTTCTAGGCTTCAACATGGTTAGAAAACATGTCAAGATCGAGCCGGATCTCTTCTATTATGCCTGCGACAAAATGGGCTTGATGGTATGGCAAGTAAGTTGATTCTACCAGAGTTCCGGCCTTCACTTTGCTTGGCGATCTTCTGACCTTGTGCACGCATCAGGACATGCCCTCGATGAACCCAGATTCGCCAGATCCAACGCCCAATCAGCAAACCGAATTTGCCCGGCAAATGAAGTTGATGGTCACGACACATTTAAATTTCCCATCAATAGTCACTTGGGTCCTCTATAAGTTTGTCTTTTTGTCAATCAAAGCCAGACTGACATTCAAAAAATTGAAAACAGAACTGATATCTTTTCGCCATTTTTTTTGGTTTCCAGTCAAGGATGGGGACAACTCAACAGGACTGAATTCGGATTGACATCGATGGTGAAAACCGTGGATCCCACTCGGCCAGTCATCTCCGTTTCAGGTTTTAACGGTATGCCAAACATGCAATCCTCATTTATCCCATACGACTTGTACTCGTATACCACTCAACTTTGATCATATTTTTTTTTTCGATCACGTCTTGCAGACTTTGGCGCCGGCGACTTTCACAATAACCACCATTACCGTAAGTCATCCTCTATAACACAAGTGCCATATCCCAACCTTTAATTTTTTTTTTCTTCCTTCTTGTAGCAAATCCACAGTGTGGAGCCCCCTTTTATTCTCTGCCATCAACACCCCATGATCCAACGAGAATTGCTGTCCAGGGAGAATTCGGCGGAATCGGACACATCCCACCCCGTGAAAATCTTTGGAACGTACCAAGTCAGCTCGACACTCTGAATCAAACCAACGAGATTACGTCCAATCTCGAAATCTGGAACTACAGAGCTACCCGCTTCATACAGGACCTGAGGGATCAAGCCCTATTTTTTAGCTGTAGCGGAGGCGTATACACTGTTAGCACTATCATTAACATTGAAGCTTGAGTATAACGTCTGATCAGCATTCTTTCTTCACTCCCTTACAGCAAACCACTGACGTTGAGGGAGAAGCTAACAGACTACTCACTGTAAGCAGCCCCAAGTGTCGCCAGTCATACCATCCAAAAGAAACTGAAATTTTGACTTCAAACCAGTACGATCGCAGGATTCTCCGACCCAATATTCAAAGATGGCAAAGACTAATCTCAGAAATATATGCTGCCCCGCATCAAGCCGCTGCTGCCTATGGGGCGTCCAAAGCCAAGCCGGTCGAGTTCTCAGTCACCCTTGCAAACCAATGAAGCAGAGGTGCTGCAAGTTGACCTCTCTTCTTCTTATTCATCCCACCGGACTTTCTCTGATTAGCTTTCTCATCTCTAAGCCTTTCTCTTTTTTTCACAACTTGCTTCTTTCCAATTTATTTTTTCCTCTATCGCAATTCTTCCTCATTTTTGTTTCTCCTTGAACATTCTTCTTGCTCCACTATTCCTTTTCCTTCATGCTTGTATTTTTCTGTTCTATTACCTGATGCACAGTTAAACCAATTGTATCAAGTATACCTATGGTTGGCTGGTCCAAGCAATTAACACCCATCACTTCTTTTTCTATCTCAATTACCAAAAAAAAACATGGTAATCGTTGATTGTACGAACTAAGCAGCAAAGATACAAACATTAAAGAAATAATGCTACTACCGGTACAACAAGATTGTCACCTTCATTAATACTAGATCGGCAAGAGAAAAGTTTGTGAGTAAAAAAATGGTTTCCTAGGTCAAGATCACCTTGATGAAGAGGCTCAAAAATCCACTCGTTTCATTCAAATTTGTCAGAGAAGGTGCTACAAATTTCTCACCTCTAAGCAGATTACAAATGCAGAAGAATTTGCATGAGGACTATGGATTTATCAAACATGGAGGAAATGGAATGGCACCACAGTGCACCCTGGTGGACTGCTGAGAAAACACCAGAAAAGTGTTCCTATGACTGGTGCAGATGTGCTGGGGGTCTGGAAAGGCTTCCCGAGGGCATCATGGCTTTTTCATGTGGGTTTCCGGTCAATTTTCGCGCTTGTCTGTGCCATCGGCCTCCCAGGGGACCAGCAATTTGTCCAGGCAATTTATCCAGACAGGGCAGACACACCCTGGTCTTGCTATCAACTCAAATAGAAAAAAAATCAAGTCAAACATCGAAAACTGAGATCCCAATTATATTATTTTTTTTAAAAAAAAAGAAATGTCAATCAACATAAAACAAAACAAAACAAAAAAAAATGAAAATAAGAATAGAATGAATTAAAGAAGAGATGAAAAAAGTAACTATGTGTAAGTGATGAATGAATGAGGAGTCAGTCCTCTTATAATCAAGACCACACATACATGCAGAAGAAGAAAAGAAAAAAAAGGCAAGAGAAGAGAGCCAGCCAGCCAAAAAAATGTACTGAGAGGTGACACTTGAGGTTGAGGAGGGAAGAGCAGATACAAAAAAAAAAAAAAAAACAAGAGGCAACAGAAAGATGATGAAACAAGGGATGCAATATAATAAGAAGACTGGCAGGGAGGAGGGGGCAATTCTATTTATAGTTTGGTTGATGATGATTGGCCTCGGAGCCAGCAGGGTGAGCGGGGAGGTTTTCACTAGGAAGAGGAGGCAGCTGCTGCTCAGGAGAGATGGCGGTCCGACTTAGCCTAGCGGGCTCATTAGAGATCGGAGTGGAGGCTGCGTCGATGTGCGTCTCGGAGGGCCGACTGACGTGGCCGGAATGGTTCTGGTTGCTGCTCCCACTCGTCGTTGCCGGCCCGCTTCCCAAGGCCCCTCCTACTCCAGTCCCGACACTCGTCCCCCCGCTCGTCATGTCCAATCCCCCACCCGTCCCGCCCGTCCCACTCGTCAGATCATCTTCTTCATTCTCTTCTTCTCCTTCATCCACAAAGACTATTCATTTTTGTCAAGAAAAAAAACCCCATCAGTTTTTTATGTAATCTCCAATCTTTTGCTTGATCAAGTTGAACTAGCAGAGACACTCAACTCTCTCGATAATGTTCCAGGATAGTTTCGACCACTTTACATTGAACGGACATGTCTTGCAGGGCGTTATTCCCAGAGGAGAGAGGAGAATTAACACCATTATGATTGATCGAGTTACCCAGCTGATTGTTTTTGTTATTATGACCAGTGGGATTATTTTGATTGGAGTCCATCCCAGCGAGTTGGTGATGTTGGTGATGATAAAAGTTGATCGGTGGGGGCGATAACAGTGTAGGTCCGAAGATCACCGCCAGGTTGGACGATCCCATTGAGTTTAGCGCTTCGTTCCTCCTGACCCTGTGGAGGATTCAAATCCATCAAAACCTGCACACATTCGACAAAAGTTTCCTCTTGATTGACAGGATGAATGATACGAAATCACTCAACTTATCTAGATGACCCATCAAATACTTCAGAGTCGCATAATTCGGGTCAGGTAGTTCATTGACTCGTTCGTGCAACCTGATATGCCTCAGCCGGTTATTTTCAATCCCTGTAACAAATTAAACAAAATCGAGAACAATCATCAATAAAACTTGCGGCTTATCATATATCTGTATGGCAGGATGGTAGAAGGGAAGAGTTGACTCAAAACGGCCAGCTTCAATAAACGAGGCATATAAATTCCACGTCAACAACGGCTCCGGTAGTTCTCGAAACCATAGTTTCATGGCACCCGCAATATCATTGATTTCTGATTGATTCTCATCTCCGACTTCTAACTTGACATTGTCAATATCTAATGACCATCAACATTCAAGGGGTAAGTTAGTAACTATTGGCGTGAGCAGGCTCTGTGATAATCATGAGTGGATATCAAAAGTGGAAAGATTCATACCTGTATCAAACCTCTGTTTTAATCTACCAATCTTGGATGTTGTACCAGACAACCGATAAATCCCAACCATGTCGATCCCACCCGCTTTTTCAATAGCTTCGATGCACTTCTCGACCACTTTCGGCACGGTTTCAACCCCATCTCTCATCATCTGAGTAGCCAGATCCACCCCGAAGGTCTTCTTGTTCTCTATTGTCAAGACGTTGGATCCGAAACTAGTTCGTGGTGATTCTCCCGCTTGCTGACTGATGGCTTTGATGGACTGGTGTGTTTGTAGCTGTTGATGTTGCTGCTGTTGACTTAAGGCGTGTGATCCAGGTGGACCAGAGGAGGCGATAGCAGGGGTTTGAGAGGGTGTGGGGGGATGGGTAACAACTGAGGATTGGGAATGAGAAACTCCAGTTTGAGAGGTTAGTTGCGCGTGATGGGTTTGATTAAAATGGGCTGCATAATTGGCCATGTATTCTTTGAAATCCGCCCGATTATCGATAGATTGGACGATATCTTTTAGCCCGTATGGCAATGAAGATGATGTTCCACCAGCATTATCCGTTTCCACATTGATACTTGGGGTTGAGTCGTCTACCGAACCTTTTCGCCGTTCAGCTGGTAATGCCGAGACTGACAGTGCCTCATTGACGAGTAATGATTCCGAGAGAGTCGAATAATTTGCCAGATAGTATTGAATGGCTAGATCGGTTTCATCAGAATGCTCTTTTAGCGTCTATTGACGATCAGTAAAGAATAGGGATAAAGACGCGAGTGTCAGTTTGAAGTGGTATGTCCCATGTTTTCATCAAGATTGTTACTTATTTGAAAAGTTAGTACTTGATTAATTTTTATTTTTATTATTCAGTTCAACAGGTTGATGATATAATAACACTTAACTCTCAAGATCCTTGGTAGTTGTAGGTTGAAATATTCCTGTCGAACTTGTTGAGTAGCTAGGACCTGAGCTCGATAGGCATCGGATACCAGACCCATCCGGCCGCGTACTTCGTCCTCTAACCTGGCCAGATGTCCAGCGGATCTTGTGCCTTTTGCTGCTAATTTTGAGATAGCCTTTCCGATTGCTTTGGCTTGTGATTTAGTTTGACTGGATGAGGATGACGGGTGGGATGAGATGCCGATATTGTTTGATCCACCGGGGGCAGGACCAGGAGCACCGGTAGGGTTGTCGGCCTGTCTGGACATGAGGACTCGTTCTAATTCTTCGACGGTCACGTCAAACTTTGCTTTAGCCTTCTCTGTCAGTCCTTCGCTCTCAGCCAAGTTTTTCTCCAGCCTCCAACCGACATCTTTGTTCGCCTTCCTAACTCTTTCTACCTCCTTGCCTAGGTTAGCCAATTCGTCTGCGATCAGATTCAATCTGGCACCATATTCGGTACGTTCGATCGCCATTCGTTCGTGAGTGGCTAGGAAGTTGCAGTACTGTTTAGCAAAGCTTCCCGCCTTGACTTCACCGCCGAGATGGGTATAAGCATCGAGTCTCTCCTTGGCCAGTTTGGCTAGCTTGATCCCGTACTCGTCTTCGAGTTGTGATTTTTTCTTTAGGAATAGGCCGACCTCCCTGCTCGTTCCTACTGCCTGTTTGAGCCTGTCGATCACGAGAGGGAAGCCACATTCGAGTCCACACAGCGTCCTCAGTACGCCCTCGTCGAAGTCGATCGCCTGGGAGGTCGAGGGTAGCCGTGATGATTTCTGGGGTGGGGGTGGACTGGGGTTGAGGCTGGTGGTTGAAGGGTTGACATGGCTTCGATAAGGAGAGCGAAGCGGATGGTGATCATTGGGTGGTTGGAATGACATCTTCTGGGCTTCAGCTGATGTATGTGTGTATTCCGGCTGAGGATGCTGGGTTGATTCGGGAGAGACAGTTCCTGCAAAGAGAGGAGAAAAAGAGGGAAAGAGAGAAGGAAGTGGTAGTATGCAGCAGAGAGAGAGAGCGAAGGGCGAAGAGGACTATGTAATGAGCTCGGTCAACAGGAAGTGGATGATTACATCATCAACGCCACCACACACACATTACCTAAGCATCCACCCTGTCACGGCTGTTTGACGATCTCGATTTATTCTACACAATCGAATCTATTTAAATAGATAAACAAATGTGTACGCACATAGCAATCACTCATGGTCTCCTGGCAATTTTGTGGAAAACATTAGAGAGCCAAGTTGTTTGAAAAAAAAAAAATGTGCAGATGAATCCCGGGAAAATGGGCCAGAATTAGCATACATTTTAATGCTTAGCAGTAGCACTGTAAACCACTTACATATGTGAAAAGTGGGGCTGCCTTCAGCAAATTTCTCAACTCCAACAAAAGTCAGTGTCCTAACCTGACATTGAATTATCCATGTAGCACCAATCCTTTTATTCAAGGTCTTTCTGTGAAAATTCAAGCGGATTCCAAGTTGTAGTACAGATTTGGGATTCACTCCCCAGCGTAATTACAATTTTCTAAGTCTGATGCAAAATTATAGTTCCATGCAAAACGGAACAGTAATGTAAAAACATCAATTCACAAGTGAATTTTAGCACACTAGAACTGCTAAGAGCATCCACCCCCGTTGGGGTAAATCTTTAGCTAGCTAAAGAGCCCTACAGAGCTCTTTTGCTTAGCTACAGAAAAAACCTGCCCTCATCGGTCTGTAAGCCCCTCATTAGCCAGCTGGTCTCACTTACAGAGGGTTACATAACCCTCGTGTCCACTATTTAAGTTACACTCTGTAAATGTTATATCTCAGATTCTCACATATCAAGTACATCATCCATCCCTCAATGAATGACCGGTACCAAGCCAGTCATTGAAGAGATTCAACACCACTCCTCTATGACCAGTACCAACTGGTTGTAGAGGAGGGTACACATATACCCTCAAGAACCAGGAGCGGAACCACCCAATCGTTGAGGGAACTACACTCTCCCTCAATGACCGGTTTACAGGTTAAAAGAGAAAAATATGACTGGTCAGACCTGGTCATTGAGGGAGAGTGTACTGTCCTCAGTGACTGTTAGGTATGGGTCATTGAAGAGAGAGTGTAGTTCCCTTGATGACCGGTACTGACTGGTCATTGAGGGAGAGTGTAGTTGACCAGTAGAGAGAGAGTGTAGTTCCCTTGATGACCGGTACTGACCGGTCATTGAGGGAAAGTGTAGTTGACCAGTAGGGTCTGTAGGTTGAGAGACCAGTTGGTACTGGTCACTGAGAGAGAGTGTACTTCCCTCAACAAGTAGTCAATAATGGTCATTGAGGGAGAGTTACTCTTCTCAATGACTGGTATTGACCGGTCATCGAGCGCCATAGTTTTTATTTCTGGATGGGAGGAGTGGTTGATTGGGACTGGCTATGTAGCCTCTCCTCAAGTCAAGCTTAAAGAGGCTCAGTAGGGATTCGTAAAGTTACGAATCCTTACCGACTTGCCGAGTGAATAGCTAGCTAAAGAGCGCTAAAGAGTGCGCGAGGGTGAAAATATCAATTTAAGTTGAGTAAATCCCGCTTACCGAGCGGGTTTACAGAGACAAGGGTGGATGCTCTAAATTCATAATTCCTATCATTTTTTGCACTCATGTCACCCTGTATGCAGAATATTGAAGCTGTATATTGGGTTGCAATTTGAGTACAATACCAACACAATCATTGAGCCAATATCCAATTTGTTACAGTTGTGTTTGGCATCCTGCTGTATGTCACAACTTTTGGTGGGGTCTGCAATGTTGAGGGCCACCACCAGAAACCCACATGGGCTCAATACATGAAATGAACCCAGAAAATATGGGCTTATGACATATGTGGTGTGTTTATCCCATACTTATGGGTTTCTAGGCGGATTATATGTAATGGGTCCAAATTGACATGCATAAATAAACAAAATAAAGTAAAAACAACTGGCCCCTTCTTGACAGGCCTTTAGATTTGGATGCTACACACTCCAAGCACTCCAAAATTGTACTTGTCAGGCCATTTTGTGCCCCATTGGGGGTAGTGTTTTGCCCCACATCCCCAACCCAGGTTTTGCAGGCAGCTGTGTACAGCAGGATGGTGTGTGCAACTGTAAAAGTAAGATAACCATACTTGTATTGGATCACTTACAGGTGTGTTGGAATTCTGTGCTCAATTATGTGAATTCCCCAGAGCTTGGTAGCATAGTGGCCTTTTCCCATGTCTTCTTGAATTGTATTTTTTATCAGACTATTGTCTCTGTGGTAAAAACAGTCAAACAAACCCTGGTGTAACACAGTGTAATTCTTGCAGCCATTTAGTCACTAGTGTTAGTGTGATACCACTAAAATCACCTAATGAAAATTCCTTTAGTGTTGGAGGTATTCTTTTCATACTACATTTATCATAGCTAGCCCAGTCTTACCCTGTGCAGCTAAGTTCTTTGAATAACTGCTATATCAATTATCTTCATTGCAAGGTTCCAAGTTATTGTAAAGTAACCAAACCCACTTTCTACCAAATCTCTAGAAGTTCTGATGTATACCTAAAAGCTCCAATGATTGAAATTAATCAAAATTTTAAACCCATTTTTAGGTGTTTATCAACACTTTTTTAAGGGCCTTAATAAAAAAACGCGGGTTTTCCGCGTTTTGACGCGGTTTTGATGCGCCGCAGCACACGCGGTTTCCGCTTTTAGACGCGGTTTTTTAATTAATTTTTTATGGGTTATTTTTTGAGTTTTTTTGAATTTTTAAAGCTGTTTCCTACACTATAAAAGGCGTAGAATTTAATGGTAAAAACCATTTTTCATAAAAATGAAATTTGATTATTAATTATTTTTTTTCACCCATTTCTCAATTAATTGTTTGCATACATGTATGTACCTTATTTTTTATGTTTTTTTAAAATTTTAAATTTATTTCCTAGGTTTTAATATGCGTAGAATTTAATGGCGCAGTCCAATTTTTTTAAAACTCAATGGTTCACTTTTAATACTCAAATTACACCCATTTTTTCACTTAATTTTTTACAGCATAATTCTCATCATTTTTTGACATTTTAAATTTATTTCCCACACTTTAAGACATGTAGAAAATGATGGTAACAACCATTTTTCCCCAAAATGAAAACTATACCTTGAATGCCGCATTTGACACGTTTTTTTTAATTAATTCATCACTTTTTCACTTAATTGTTTGCATACATGTGTGTACCTTATTTTCTATGCTTTTTTGAAATTTTAAAGTTTTTTCATACATTTAAAATTGTGTAGAATTTAATGGTAACATCCAATTTTCTTAAAACTCAACAGTTCATTTTTAATACTGAAACTAGACACTTTTTTCAATTAATTCTTTACATGTTATTTCTCACTATTTTTTGACATTTTAAGTTTATTTCCCACACTTTAATACATGATAAAAATGATGGTAACAGCCATTTTACATAAAAATCAGCGCTTGTTACTGAATACTGCAGTGGACAGGCTTTTTTTGATGTTTTTTTGATTGATTTTTACCGGCCTGATTTTAAGCATTTTTTTTATTTTAAATTTATTTCCTACATTTACAAATGTTTAGAATTGAATGGTGAAGTCCAATTTCACTCAAAATACAAGCTTCAATCTTAATAGATGAGCGTACCCTGTTTCTTGCATAATTTGTACCATATACAAATTTTATTTGAATGCAAAATGGATACAGCCATCAATTCTGAAACCTTTAAAAGTGTAGGAAATAAGCTTGAAATTCCAAAAAATAAGGATAATTGAGCGTGTAAGAATTAATTCAGGAAACACGTCAAAGGCATTATTCAAGATATAGTTTTCATTTTGATGAAAATTCATTGTTGCCATAATTTTATACATGTTTGAAAGTGTAGGAAACAAATTTAAAATGTCAAAAAATAATGAAAATTAAGCTCTTAAAAATCAATTGAAAAATATGACTAATTACAGTATCCAGAATGAACCGTTGAGTTTTATGGGAATTGAATGTTACCATTAAATTTTACACACTTTTCAATGTAGGAAAAAACTTTAAAATTTCAAAAAAGCATAGAAAATAAGGTACACACATGTATGCAAACAATTAAGTGAAAAAATGATGAATTAATTTAAAAAAAACGTGTCAAATGCGGCATTCAAGGTATAGTTTTCATTTTGGGGAAAAATGGTTGTTACCATCATTTTCTACATGTCTTAAAGTGTGGGAAATAAATTTGAAATGTCAAAAAATGATGAGAATTAAGCTGTAAAAAATTAAGTGAAAAAATGGGTGTAATTTGAGTATTAAAAGTGAACCATTGAGTTTTAAAAAAATTTGACTGCGCCATTAAATTCTACGCATATTAAAACCTAGGAAATAAATTTAAAATTTTAAAAAAACATAAAAAATAAGGTACATACATGTATGCAAACAATTAATTGAGAAATGGGTGAAAAAAATAATTAATAATCAAATTTCATTTTTATGAAAAATGGTTTTTACCATTAAATTCTACGCCTTTTATAGTGTAGGAAACAACTTTAAAAATTCAAAAAAACTCAAAAAATAACCCATAAAAAATTAATTAAAAAACCGCGTCTAAAAGCGGAAACCGCGTGTGCTGCGGCGCATCAAAACCGCGTCAAAACGCGGAAAAACCGCGTTTTTTTATTAAGGCCCTTTTTAAAAATCCAAGAGTTGTGCAGATTGTTGAGAGACCCACAAAACTGCTCATCTTGTATTTTTAAAAAAAAAATGCTGATAAAGGCCTTAAAAAGGGCTCTAAAGATTGATACATGCCAATTGTGCACCCCACTATTGCTGGCGAACCATATTTTACAAAATTTGGTACTCAAACTTGGGCTTGTCTGTGAGCTCAATTTTGATTGGGTTTCTTATATCTATAAGTGATGATACATATTTTGCAAAAAAAAAAACAATGGACTTCTTCCCCTCATAGATTTCATATATTTAAGTACAAATTCAATTCATGAGGAATTTTCATTTGTGGGTTTCACAATTGGCTTTTTCATGGACTGCTGAACTCACTCAAAATAATTCTTTGAACAGAGAGATTCCTATAGAATCAGATCCAAGCAAACTGGAATCAGATTTTGTGGGCAAATTTGATCCCAGGTTCTTCTGATCTGCTTCTAGAGGGTTTACAGAGCCAACAGGAATTCCTCCAATTTGAATTTGAATTTAGTGATTTTCTGTTCAATTTTTCAACAGTTTTCACAAATCAACTTAGCTTGGTCCTCCAACAGCAAACCAGGCTCAGCTGCATCGGGCCTACTTAAATTGGGTCTGATTCAGCCCATTGATGCAAACCATTCAGAGTTGCTGGTAGTGTTGGTTTCTTAATTGACTGGGGAGGATGATCTGAGTTGTGCTTGAAATAGATTTATGTAGCTGATTTTAAGTGTTGAATCTGGGGTTTGCTGCAAATTCCATTGTTGAACCTCAAATTTGGAGCCCTTCTTCAGATCAGGTTTGCTAGAGGTTACAGGAAAGTTGCACTGGAGTCAAATCAGGAAGCCACAAGTTCACTGATGCTCTTTTATCTCGCCGGTTACATTTAAACTCGATCGATTGATGGCCATTGTATGCGCATGAATATCATTGCACACTGTTGATGAGAGGATAAAGCCAGATACACACGCAGCTCTCGACTCGAGGGAAATAGAGTGGATTGATTTACATCCTACGACTCTGTAGATCGGCCCCTTGGCTGGTGTGGTCAACAGAAAGCTGTTTTTGTGTTGTGTGTAGTGCTGACTGATAGTCAACAAACATAATCGACCGGACCTTGGATTATACATTTCTTGAAGGGAAAGGGGCCGCTGAAAACCTTCAACATTACATGCACCCTTATCCACCTATCACGTTCGCTTGTGGTCATCATCGGGCACGCCAGATTGACTCGTGAGGACCGATTGGGTGGCGAGTACGGACATCAGAATGGCGCCTAATGAAGGAGGGCAAAGGAAATCTGACGAAGCCGTTCTGGCCGAGATTGGGTAAGACATATCCTTCTCTTGATGCTTCAAGTTCAATGATACTCCGCGACGATGACTGATGCCATTCTCTTGTTACCAACAGTTATCAACAGGAACTCAAGAGGGATTGGAATCTTCTTCAGAATTTCGGGGTCTCATTCTCCATCATCGTCAGTACTCATGTTTTTTCACCAACCAACCAGAATAGCCAAGCATGCATTGGACTTCTCTCCGGAGTTTTCATCGCTTGTTGATTTTGATCGTTCGCAAGGGCCAATAGAGCGTTATAACTGGAATTACGACGTAAGCATCCAATTTCCCAATCAGCTGTCGCGCATCGTTTGTTTGACATTGCATACCCTAATGAGGTTCTCGTTTGCACAGCTTGTTCTCAACTGGCCTCAATGTGGGTGGACCAGCAGTAATGACCTGGGGTTGGATTGGCGTCTCAATCATGAGTATGTATGTTTAGAGATCGGATTCCGAGCACAGTTCTATTGATAACTGATAAGACTCGCATGGCTCATGCTTCATGTCTCGTTGTAATCAGCCATCTTGGTGGGGTTAAGCATGTCAGAAATTGTCTCAGCAATTCCAACCAGCGGCGGTGAGAGCTCAAGCTTCAACTGATGGATGGAATGGCCGGGTAAAACCGAGAGATAACGCTCAATTTTCGATTCTTCTTTAGGCCCTTACTTCTGGTCTGCTGTTCTCGCGAAACCTTCCGAATCTGCACTTGCAGCATGGATCACCGGCTGGTTCAATTTGGTTGGACAAGTAGCAGTCACAACAGGAATCAGCTATGGATGCGCAAATCTCATCTCATCCACTGCTGCAATCATTCATCCGGATCGATATACACCCACCTCGGGAACAATCATCGGGATTCATGCTGGCCTTCTCATCTCTCATGGACTTATCAACACTTTCGGTGTTGGGCTTTTGAGACTATTCAATCATTCTTCCATTATTTTGCACTCTCTAGGTGTAGGCTCGTTGGCTATTGCTTTGTTAGCAAAGGCTAGATTCCATCAAACTTCTCAATTCGTATTTTTCAAGTTCTATGACGGCACTGGTGGCTGGAGCGAGCGCGCCTCACCCGCATACGTAGCTGCTTGTGGAATTTTATGTGCGTATTTTTTTTCTTTCCCAAAGAGCGAAAAAAAAAATTGCGACCCGATCTGGCCATGAGCTCTTCCTACGTTGAAAAAAATAAACAAGTATTGACAGGACTTAAGTTATTTCGAACCTCATGAAAAATTGATTGAAAGTTGCACAGTAAGGACTATTTCAACTCATCGAGGACCACTTTCATACGAATTTTGAGCTTGACCATTCGGCCATCTCATCAATTTTCAAAAGATATACCATCACCGGGTTTGATGCAAGTGCTCACATGTCCGAGGAAACCAAGAATGCAGCATGGTCAGCGCCGCTTGGAGTATTAACATCGATCATAGTTTCGGCGATATTCGGCTTTGGAATAATTCTAGCATTCCTGTTTTCGATGCAAGATTTCGAGGAAACTCTCAGTGCCCCACAACCCGTCTTCAAAATCATGGTGGACGTCTTTGGGCCCGTTGGGGCGCAGATTGCAATGAGTTTGATCATCCTGTGCGTTTGGCACTGTGGATTGTTCTCCGTGACAAGTAATAGCAGAATGATGTACGCATTTGCAAGAGATGGTGGTCTGCCTCGAAATATCTTCGGTGTGGTTGATCGCAGATTCGATTGTCCCATCAATACCGGTGCGTCCTCCTTGCTTTGATTTCATCATGAGCTGATATAGGATCCCTGATGCGCAGAAGAATCAACATTCTTTCAGTTTGGCTCTCAGTGGTTTTGGCTTTTCTACTAGCCCTGCCAAGTCTTGGCTCGTCCGTTGCTTTCACCGCCGCTACGAGTTAAGTTCAATTTGGGAAATTAGCTATATGTTGCTGTGGTCTCACAGGGCATCTAACTCTTCCGGTTATTCTCTCAATTGACTTTGGTGCAGGTATCGCAACGATTGGATTGTGAGCAGTGAATTGATCAACCAATCTTGCAACATTTTTTGGAAAATTAAATGTAGCTTACGGACGTGATAAGTGTTTTCTTTTTCTTGGATGTGATGATAAATAGATACATATCGTATGGTATGTTTTTTGTTACTTTTCTTTTGGTTTGGATATCAACAGGAACCAACCAGACTCGACTCTTTTAATCATCCTTATATTTCCTTCGTAGTTCTAATTGTCTCGCTGATTCCACAATTGAAATTCAAACTTTCTGCCTCACAGGGTTGCCGATACTTTTGTCAGTCATCTGGGATGAACGATTCAAAAAGGGACCATTCCGTTTACATGGATTCTCAATGTTTGTGCACGACGATATCCAATCCGATTTTCACCCTTACTTGTTTTACTACACTGCGCGCCAACAGATAAAAATTGATGAGCCCATTAATTCCTCGGTATCTATTTCTGGGAGGGCTTTCAGGCCAATCAGAATCATTTCATGTTTATGGATCATCGTTATTACTGTGTTTTTCTGCCTTCCAACTAGCACTCCAATCTCACGAGAGACTTTGAATTATACGCCTGTAGTTGAGTGTTTTTGATCCTCTTTCCTCAAGATTTTTTGGGTACGACGACTCCATCTAGAATGCTCTGATGGCTCCAAATCTCAACCTATGAGGGGTTGATCTCATTTTTGCGCTCTCTTCTTCGTTTTTTTCTTGCCAGGTTTTAGGTATTCTGATTACTTGGATTATCCTATCTTGGATATTTTGGGCTAGTCGATCGTTCAGTGGACCATGCAACTCTGGTTCAAATCTCTTGGATGCTAATAAAACGTACCTTTAGGTCAAAATAAAACCTCAACCTAAGCACAAGTTTGTAAAGCAGTTTTTAACACTTGGATTGACGAAACAAATTTGCAAATTGATACTATGAAGTTCTCCATTGCTCTTCGCTATGTCATGATTCATCTGGAATTTACATCTACATTTCCATTGCTGCATGTAAGAAATTCTATGTAGTGCGATTTTCCTTGCCTGGTCCTCGGAGTGGATTTGCCATATCTAAGGAACATCTTCGAACTAGGATACATAGTCAAAATTATTGACCACATCTAGAGTTATCCCATTTTTGTCGCGGTTTTTGTCAGTACCCTGTTGGGTGAAAGTCAGCAGTCACGCCAAAATATTGACCCAAATCAATATTCTAGCTTTTGTTAACCCCCTGATCATTCATTGCAGATAGGCAATTATGCTATCAATAATCGAAGTTGAGACTTATGGCCTCAATAATTTTACAAAACGCCCTGGAAATATTCAGAAAAGAGTTAAATAAGTGAGTTCAAAATTTTCCTGCAGAGCCTGAATTTACCTTAGACAGTCACAGATATTGTTCAACTTCACTAGCTTTTCTATTCTATGATGATGAGCTGAACTGTTGGATGCGGGAGGATATGGGGCTTGTTGAATGTGCGGCCCATGGGTAATGCCCTGTCAAGTATGATTACAACGGCTATATGCGAGCGCCGCAAGTCCAAAAATAGACAAAAGGATTGGCTGAGCTCTCCCGTTTTTGCGAAACAAATCGAATAAATCTAGAAGTTTCAATTTCCTTTCCCTCGGTGAACAACGAGACAGTTTTCCAGCTGTCGTACAATGTTTGAGGATAAGTGGCGGAAGCTACATCCACCACCCGCAAGGGAAGCACGGTAGAGAATTTTTGATACCTGACCAGTGGTGAGGAGACCAGTGTTCAAATGCTGCCTCACCTCTGGCTTAACACAACCCCCTCGATCGGAGGGCCTGGTATGGCCAGGCGGGCGCGAAGCGTGCCTCGCGAACCGGGGGCACCTCGGAAACGAGGGGACTGGGTTAAGCTAGCATACTCATAACCGACCGAGGACACCGACTGGTATTATGTGCTTTTCATTTGGGCATCGGAGGACTTAGGGAAGGTACAGTTGAGCTGTACATCCTGCATTTCGCCCGAAAAATCAAAAAATCAAAAAACAAAGGGTGGCTCAATGCCTGTCCCCCCTGGGCTTCCATATGTTATAGAAGTGTGTGACCGATGTGGCCGATGAGCAAAGATTCAATCTTGAGTATTCGCTCTATCCCAGCAGCCAAAACCTTCCGGGTCCCCTCAAACTGAATCAATATCATACTGCACACGATGTTCCGCCGCGAAGTTTTCATGCCAGGTGGCTGCCGTCGGGGCACCGCTGTGCACACCCTGTTCTCTGAGGGAAACGATGGGCAGAGCAGAGAATCGCCACCCGACAAGTCGCGAGGATTTCGTCGGTCCGACTCCCCACCCGAGTTCTTACCCCCACAAGGGGTGGGCATTATCTTCAGAAGAGCCCTGTAATGCTCACCGCATGCTAGACCAGAGGGTCCAGTGCAGCATGAGTCGCAATAAATTACGACCGGGCGTAGAAAACAAGCAGTGCAAGGGGTTGTATGATAAAGTGAACCTGACGATAAGGAACACGCCACGTGAGCACAGGTACGCTACGGGTATTCGACTCCAAACTCGGTTAGATTACTACTCACCTGACGATAAGGAACACGCCACGTGAGCACAGGTACGCTACGGGTATTCGACTCCAAACTCGGTGAAGAGAGAGAGAGGAGCCGGTACCCGGCGCATACAACAGCTAGACTAAATACATGGTGTTTCGCCGCAGCAACTAGTTTAGGTTTAAGATGATGATAGATAGAGTTGAAACACATGTAAGTCTATCCTGAGTTAAGTTTGTGATCTTGTAACTCTGCGCTAACTCTAACACCCCCCCTCAAGATCGCAAACTTTACCATCTCAAGCCTAATTTTGCCACTGCGTCTTCTATCTTATTGGGACCCAATTTCTTGGTGAAGATGTCGGCTTGTTGGTTGATGGTGCTTGTCCATGAAATCTTGATACCATTTTCTCGCACAAAGTCATTGATGAAATAGAAAGCCCGCATGAGGTATCGAGTCTTCTTCTTCGATGCGTTGTCGCCAGCAATTAAGATGGCGGTTTGATTGTCACAGTAAACATTCATTTTCACATTATGACTGATATCCTCAAGTAGCATTGCTATTCCGGCCAAATGCTGCGCTCCGTCCGACAGTGCAATGTATTCCGCCGCGCATGTTGACAAAGCTACCACCGTTTGTCGTTTTGCACCCCATGCAATGGCGTCCCCAAGATGCTTGATAACAAAACCCGAAGTTGACCGTTCATGTTCGCCTCCCCAGTTCGCATCCGACCAGAGATCCAGGTTTGAGTTGTTCCCTTTAAAAACAAGTTTGGTTGACTGGCTGCGCTTGATGTAACCAATTAGATAATCAAGGGCCAACCAATGTGATTCAGATGGGTTATTGCAGTAGCGCGCCAAGAGATTAACCGCAAATGACAAGTCTGGACGTGTTCCACAAGCTAAGTACATTAATGACCCAATGATTGACCTGTAGTTAGTTTGATCTACCGGTTCAAACGCGTTTACCTCCAGTTGATCGTCAGGCAACGGCGATCGCCTGGTGAATATTGGTCGTTCATAGTCTCGTACTATTTGGCTGGCTAGTCGTTCCTGATCCAGAATAACTTCGCCGTCTTTTGTCACAATATTCAACCCAACAAGTCTCTTCACTCCATCAGCCCACTTTATGTTCATTTCCTTCTGCATTTCCACACGGAGGTTGTCCAACAACAGTTGATTTGACGCCACCGCTAGACCATCATCCACGTGTAGCCAAATGATTACAAAATCGACTCCTTTCCGATAGATGTAGAAAGATTGTTCGAGCTCCGAAGCCACAAAACCAACTGCCTCCATCTTCCTCTTGAAAAACTGCCACCAGCATCTCGCCGCCTGTTTTGTCCCGTACATAGCCTTCTTCAAACGCATGATTTTTCCTTTCAGGTGTGGCATAATTTCGACTGGCGGTTGGACGTAGACCTCTTCTTCGATAGGACTATACAGATATGCTGAGCTCACATCAAATGTAGCTGTAGCATAACCATGTTTGTTCGCCAGTGATAATAGAAGTCGGAGAGTGTTGAGTGAGGCGGTGGGTGCATATGTTTCATTGCAGTCAATTCCAATTTGTTGATTGAAACCTTTCGCCACATACCGCGCTCGGTAGATTTCAGGATCGCCTTCCCGGTCGGGTGGCTTGATTGTGAATACCCACCGACAACCTAGTGCCTTCGCTCCTTGGAAAGGCTCGATTGGTTCCCATACCTCCAAAGATTCGAATTTTTCCACCTCGTATTCAGCCGCACATCTCCATTCTGCCGCCCTCTTGCTCTTCAACGCCGTCTTGATGGTTGCTGGTATCCGCCTGTCTTCCGTCAGGACCAATTCCGAAATTGCCTTCTGTTCTCGCTCATGACACACGTCAGTCTCTTCCTCACCCAGCTTCAGCATGATTTGATTAAGTACAATGTCTAAGCATGATGTTTCGGCCGGTTCATCATGTTCCGGTGTCGATTCTGGTTCAGGATTCTGTACCGGTGCTGCCATTTTCTTGACGGGAAGTCTTTGAAATTCAGGAAACATGACGGCTGTTGAGTGGATGATCCTTCCTTTTGACTCTGACCAGAATAACCATCCTCCACCCGACATTGGATAGCCAACAAGTTGACCTTCTGTTGCACGTTCATCAAGTTTGTCGCGGTTTTCTTTGGGTATAAGAAGGATAGCTGACGCTCCAAAAGGATATAACTTATTTGGATCCACCTCGGTCGAGTATAGTTGGGTCAGCGGTGCGACAGGAACCTTGGTGTTGGGAATTCTGTTGTGGATGTAACCTGCTGCTTGGTATGCGTGTCCCCAAAAGATTTTTGGAAGCTTGCTTTCGTGAAGCATTGTGCGGGCCATGTCACCAAGTGTTCGGTTGACTCGTTCAGCTTCTCCATTCTGTTCAGGGCTGTAAGGCGGGACGGGGGCGTAGTTGATTCCAGTTGGTTTGAGCAGCTTCTTCAGGGTACCTGTATACTCCGGAGCATTGTCGGTTCGGATGCATTTTGGGTATCGTCCTAAAGTGGTCTTGATGTTTTCAACCCATTCCATGATTTGAGCTGGCACCTGGTCACGGGTTACTAGGATTGCCGTCCAGATGTACGTGGTTGCATGGTCTCGGAGTGTCAACAGGTATCGTCGACCGGAAATGTCATATGGAAATGGACCTGCAACGTCAGACACAAGCAAATCCAGAGGTTCGTCTCGTGGGATCAAAGAGTTTGAGCCAGGTGATTTTCGATCCAGAGCTTTGGATATTGCACATTGTTCACAGAAGAAAGATTTCCAGGTCTTCTTTTCAAGTTCTTCTGGGTAGTGAATCTTAAGGTATTTTCTCACAACAGTTTCTGATACATGCCCTAGACGGCGATGCCACAGGTATGGATCAAATGACGGGGAAGTAGTGACTTTATTTATTTCAAGGGCATCTTTACACATTGCTAGGTACCAACAGAAATTGCGGAAGCGAGTGGTGAAACAAATATTACTAGGACTAATGAGCTTGGCTTTCTTTCCGTCAAAACAAAGCCTCCATCCATCGCTTGTCAACCTTCCGACTGAGAGTATCAATCCATCAACACCTGGACAGTAGTAGACATTGTCGAATTCAATTGGACCCTTCGGAGTCTGGATCCTCACACGGCCCTTGAATCTAACGTCAACTTTACAGTCAGCAACCGCTAGTGAGATGGTCCGCGGAATCGCTAGATCTTCACGTGAAACGAAAATTTCTAGATTGCCACTTACATGGGTAGAGGCACCAGAGTCGAGTAAGACTTTTCCGTCATTGGCTTCTGGGACGTCCAACTGACGAAGACGGTTTTGAGGCATTGCGGGGCGGTGGGGGGGGAGATAGTTGGATTGGGGGTTATCAAAGTCGCGAGGTGGGGAATCAATAACCTTCTGGTCGACATCGTCCCAGAACGCCGCACAGTTGTTGTACCAGTGGCCGGTCTGCTTACAGTAGTGGCAGGCGTCACCATAACGTGCCTTGAGAATTTCATTCAGCGGTTTTCCGCGGAATCGGTTTGCTCTCTCAACGGACAGACCAGGTTTCTGGTAGTTTTGGTGGTCTTGTCGGGCTGGGGGGTGTGGGCGACGATGGGGAGTAGTGTACAGAGGTTTGTTGTTCCTCATTGCATGGACTGCATCAAGATCCATCGGTGCGTAGCCGTCGGATACGACTGGTGTCTTGTTCTTAGACTTGCTGGAAGCCGCTTGGATAACCGTTGTTACATCGCTGAATGACGGTTTGTCCTTCAGCTCAAGATTCTGATCGACCGAGAATTCGAAGGTCTTTGGGTCGACACCGATCGGAGCAACGAACGAGCTTTGAAGGAATAAACCTCCAAGTTCGTCAACAGTAACCTTGTACTGTTTGACTTCAGCCATTACCCGGCTCCATTTCGCGAGAGTGACTTCAGAGCCGGGAGTCTTGTCAGTCGCCAAAGCGATGATTTGCTCGACCAAGGAGATTTTGTGGCGGCGGTCCGATCTGCTACATTTTGCCTTCAGGAGCTCGAGGATCGACCACGGATCTTCCTTGTCTGTGCTGTCCACGATGCCGAGAAGATCCTCGTTGATCGTGGACCGGATGAGACGCGAGATCGAATCTTGTTCGTCTAGAAGTCGGGCGGCGAAGTTCGACTCCAAGCTGGAAAAATCCTTGACTTGGAAAACTTGACGAAGCGTCCGATTAAGCTCCTTCTCCCAGATTTGGAAGTTGAAGCCATCGCACGCAAGGATGGTTTTTGCTGGGTTGGCGGCGTGATGGATACCGATTGGATCTTTATTAAAGTTCCGGATGACGATCTCGGATCGAGTGAGCGTCGACGATGATCCTCCAGCGTTTCCAGACTGGGGTATCAATAGCTTGAGTTTTTCAAACTCGGCCTTGAGGAACAGGTAATCTTGGGCGGTGGGAGCGGTTTCCATATCGATCTCCGCAAGTGAATCGAGTATTCTTTTGTTGTTCTCTCTTTCTAATAGCTTCTTCTCGACTTCTTTTTGATGCTTTATTCGCTCTTCTTCGATTTCTTGTCTCAGATTCTCGTTTTTCAACTGTTCTAATTCTCTTTCTTTTTCGATTTTGATTCTTGTCTCTTGATTCGCTTTTTCTTTTATCGCTCGAAAATCTGCGCTTCTGCTACGTCCAGCACTGCTCATTCAGACAGGTCGATGTCTTCCAAGAAATTTCGTCCAAATCCCGACAGCGTAAAATTAGAGCCGGCTTTTAACCTATGATAAAGTGAACCTGACGATAAGGAACACGCCACGTGAGCACAGGTACGCTACGGGTATTCGACTCCAAACTCGGTTAGATTACTACTCACCTGACGATAAGGAACACGCCACGTGAGCA